ATGCTAATTAAGAATGTTCCCAAAGAGTCAGAAAATACAACTCATACTAGAACTGCTTAATTATTTGCTGTTTTAAAAGTTATTAGCATCACCACATTTTTTCCCTAAATGGATAAAACAAGAACTTACCTGCTTTTATTTGAGAAAATAGAAACATACCTGCAAAATTTTAATGACCTCCTTTGCCTACAGAGTTACCTAGTTCTCAGCTTAACAATACTGGCTCAGGGTCTAGATTTCATTTTCAATAAATAATGAGCTCTTTCATATATGCATATATGTTACTATTTAGGCAAACAGGCACATTTGGGGCAGGTACACATGTAACTCATTGACTTCACCTTCACTGTCACTTCCTTCTCTATAATATTCATGGACTTCCATAATCACAAAAACATAACAGAGAAGGTATTATTAACTGTCTCTTTTGCATATTGGGAAATATGCTGAGGAGATCTACTCTGTGTCCATATAAATGAACAATCAATTTACAATTCCAGAGTGGAACTCCAGAGTTTTCTATTTCCCAACTCAAGTACCAAACAAAGTCCTTCAACAAACCCACTTTCAGGACTAGATAATTGTGCACTTAAATGCCATCAAGAAATGGAAGCTACATATGCCCAAGAAGACAGAAAAGAGTTGGTACAATTCTCCTGACATCCATATGGGTTTCCTCACCATTCCCCAAAATTGCCTTGAAAATTCTCACCTCCTTGCCTTTGCATATACTGTTCCCTACTGTCCCAAGCTGGGATGCCTTTTATCCTCACTTTTTCCCTTATGAGTCTTACAAATCAAGTCCTATGAAGACTTTCATGATTGTCTTTCTTCCACTGCAACCTCCTCAATTTCCACATGAGGGAACTGAGGAAAGGGGGGAGTTATAACTACCTTATCAATAGTTTCATGAATGGCAAATTGTAACAATAATACTAATAATTAAAACTTGAATCGCACTTTAAAGTTTTCAAAGCACTTTACTATTTGATTTTCACAATAATCCTGTGAGGTAGGTGATACTATTATCCCCATTTATCAGGAAACTGAGGCTAGGTAAGTGATTTGTCCTGAGTGACATAGCTAGAGGCACATTCTTGGATCCAAATTCAGTACCATCTGATTGATTCAACCCTCCATCCACTACATGGCCTGGGTTATCTTATGTTTTCAAAGACGTAGAATGCTTACATTTATCACAGATTTAGGAAAATTATAGTTGAAGAAAATGAAAGGACTTCCTGATTTGCCCAAGGCACAGGAAGCAAACAGCAGGGCTGTCATTGGAAAATGTTTTCTGATACCAAATTCAGTACATTTTCCATTATACCATGATTCTTCTTCAATTTCATTAGGATTGGACTCTATTCCTTTGAGCACTGACATGAGGTTAAGGCAACTAAAATTACCTTCTAGCCCAGAAAGCATGAAGCAATTTTAAAACATACAAATTGATGGCCAGAGACTTTATTTAAATGGTCTCTAGGCAAGTTTACAGCCATTCAAGTAAGCTCAACTTATATTGCTTGGGGCTTAGTTATTTAGTTACTTATTAAGGTCACAAACCACCCTAATGGTGATACATATACAACAGAAGAAAAAAGATTTAAGATGTTCCAAGCCCATGAACAAAATGAGTTCATATTGACCTTGGCATCGGATCTGTTCATACAGTGTGTTAACTGGCACACCTACACTTCCCAGCATTGAAAATATAATGTTCCTTGTATTCACCTGGGCATTCTAGATTACAGTAACCATACACAAATTCAAGAGGCGGGAAGATTATGCTATCTGCTGTGAGTTCTAGTTAGATCTTCCACTAAAAACTACCCTGAGATTTCAGGCAGTATTAAAATGACTTCCTTTATCCTGAAGGGCATCATGGAATATTTTTCTGAGAGGATTTTTCTAGTTTATGGACATCGTAAAGAAGTTTGGTACCAACGTTTCTGCTTCTGTATAAAAGTCTACTAAATTCTAAGTGAACTTCAGTTTAAACAAAATGAACATGAAAGTACCTAGAAAAACAAAAGCGTTTCCCAAATATTAAGCTTAGGAAAAATTTAACATGGCAACCACATACAAGTATTCAATAATTTACAAATAACCTCATATCAAACCTCAATCAAATTGCTAGCTATTACTACTACTACTACTACTACTATCACTACTACTACTACTACTACTACTACTACTACTACTACTACTACTACTACTACTACTAGGAATATATTTAATTTTGGAATGGGATTATAAAAATAAAGACCTAACCAATGGCTAATTTATTCATTCATTATAATTTTTAATCTGTTTTAGCTGCTCATCTTAAGGATGCCTGCCATTTGGACAAAAGTCCATCTACCTTCCTTGTTGCAGAAGGCTCTTAAGAAAATGAAGATTTTAGGGCCAATTAAATTAAAACTTGATTAAGTCTTCATGCCACAGAAATTTTGAAAGAAGGAGGGAGGCAAAGCTTTTATGTTCTACTCTGCTTAAAAAACAAAACTTGAAGGACCACTAGCTAATATCACATATGGCTCACATTCTCATATCTAAGATGTCATGTATGACCATCTACTTCTATTGGCTGGCCAATTACATTTCTCATGATCAAGAAACTAAAAATTTAATAAAGCCCACTCTCAATTATCCAAGCTGATGCATGGCAATACTAGTGCTAATCATTCAAAACAATTTATGATACAAAAATAAATTCTGTTAGGTTTAGAAAACTGTTCTCAATTCAATTAATGAATTAATTTGGCAGCAAAGTAACCTTCTGATTTTTGTTCTCTATTTACACAAATATTAAACATTAGCTTATTTGGACAACTGACCAAATAATACCAACTGACAATGGAAAAGGGTGACCAAGAAGGGACAGAGAGAGGAATAAGCATTTATATTGCCTATGTGCCAGGTATTGTGTTAAGAGCTTGACAACTATTATCTTATTTGAATAAGCTATTCAGGGAGGCCAAAAAAACATTCTCTAGATGATAATCCCTTGTGATAATCCGCATGAGAATAATCAAGGCTAGACTATAGCAATTTATCATCACTAACACCTTATACTACGCTTTTCTGGGACAGATAATATAGATGGACCCAGAGTTGAAAAGAAGGAGAGTGAGCTGGATTGCCTTTGGGCAACTGAAAAAGCACATTTACTAATTTCAACCTCTCCATAACAGCAAAGACCTATCTTTTTAATACAAAGATTTTACTGGGGGGTTTTGTATAGCAGGAAGATCTGGAATACCACTGCCTCCAAAGTACTGAAGAGGAGTATTGCACAGAGGGGAGTAGAAAGGTCCATGGTATGTGTGAACAAGCTGTAACCAACCAACAAGGAACACTAAAGAAGAGCAAAAGTAAAGGATGTTATCATTCTGTACGAAAGAATAAGAAGATGGGCCAGTCACATGGTAAGGGTGGGTGATGACAGGTAGAAGGCCAATGTGTTCACTGGTACCCTTGCAATGTTGAGAAAAATGGAAAAAGGTTCCCTGCATATTGTTGGCTCCTGAGGTGAACTTCTAGGAGAACACAGGTGAGATTCACAAAGGAGGGCCAGGCATGAACAGGTTGCCACATACATTATTAAAGGAATTCCTCAATCAATGAGATCACAGATGTTTGAGAATCTGAGCACCTGGAAGTTGGGATGTAACCTTACATGCTATTAACAGCTTCAATTATTTCAGAGACAGATTCTCTACAGAGCCATGCCTACTGCTGAGAAATGACAAAACTAATGCTGAGGTATAGCCTGTCTGGGATGCTTCCTTTTGCTCAAGGATTGCTTGACCTGGCAAACTCTTTTCTCTCAAACTATGTCTAACATCCTTCAAAATAGGCATCACTGGATCTACATCCAAACTTGAGAATTAACCATGGCCCATTTATCTAATTCTCCATTTTAATACAATTGTCACATTCAAATCAAATGCTATACTATTCATTGTTTTATTTTCAACTTTCATTGGTGCCTGTTAGTAAATGATAAAGTATTTGAATTTCCACAAATGTTTAAATTTCTTACTTCCTATTTCCTAGTCAAGCCCCACATTTGGCCAACATTTCCATATCTTAGCTATACTAGTAATAAAATATTTATTACTATTACATATTATTATCATATCAACGCACAGGATTTTAAACCAATCAAATCAAAGGTCTCCTGGAAAGAACACTAAAGGAAAAACTGAGGCGTAATCAGGAAAGCGCATTATTAGGAGAATATTATGTACACTGACCATAACACTATCAATAGAAAACCCCTATAAATCAGGTAAACTCAAATTAATTGCAATGACCAATCTTGTCCAGGAGAACAGATGATGAAATATATTTCCCTTCTCTTAGAAGAAAAGTGAAGGATTACAGGGGCAGAATGTGACAGTATGCTGTTAGTAGCAATTATTTAGTTATTCAGTTACTCAGTTGCTTCTGAGGTTTTTGTCACAAGAAAAAGATCAATGGGATGGGGATGTGATTATATATAGATATATGTGTGTATGTGTATACATATAGATACATATATATCTATATTTGTGTATGTGTGCATATCAGGAAATGGTAATGATATATAAAAGGCAACAATAAAACTATTTGTTTTTTTATTGTCTTGCAATAAAAATATTTGTTTATGAACAGTGGTCCTAGTTCTGCCATTTATAAACAGTATGGCCTTCAGTGAATCACTAAACCTCTCAGTTTCTTCATCCTTAAAATGGGACATTAGCATTTACCTACCTCACAGGATCTGTTATAAGGATCAAATGAGATAATGCAAACAAAACGTTTTTTGAACAAAAATATTTAAAAAGTAGACTAACAATCCAACCAAAAAGAGAACTGTTCTTCATACCAAAACCCAAGCAGGATCCTATCTGGTCAATTTTCCAATTGTCCTTTCCTATTGCTGGGCTGACATACATTTTTTAGAAAATTGCAGTTGATGTATCACCTCAATAATTTGGATTATTCCTCACCTTAGATGCCTCTGCCTCAATCTGTTGTCGCTTGGGTGTTTCTTTCAGGTCAGGCGATTTCTGGGTAGCTTTGTTCTTAACGGCTTGAGATTCAATGCCTTCAGCTTCAATTTGCTGGTTAATACCTTCTGCATGGACAGAGTGATCAATACCATTTGGATTCAGACTGCAATGGATAGCTAAGAGAAAAAAATGACAGATATAGCTCAGTAAACAAATCATATCAGGAGAGTCTCCAGAGACAAAGAACATTTCATCAAGCAACAGCAGGAAGATGCCAGGCTGGGAGCTGAGAAGCTGAGAGAACCTCAGTGACTGTACTTATTATAATCTCACAGAACCACAGAAGTTCAGAGGCATTTCAGAGGACTTTAGAGGCCACCTGTCCCATCTTTAGCTGAGGAGGAATACTTTCTACAGCCAACCTGAGTGGCCATTCAGACTCTGCTTGCTAACTAATGAGATGGAATCTGCCACATTCCAAAGCAATCCATTATTCTTAGAGACAGTTCTAATTGTTGGAGCATTTCCCCCACACCCACACACACCCCCTTATTCTGGTAGTATGGAATTTGGTTCACTTCTTTACTAATCTGGGGGGGGGGGGAAATTCAGCTTTTCATTCCAGAGTAACCCATTCAATTATACAGCTCCATATTAATTATCTATTGCATGCAAAGATCTTGGATAAATGATGAGTGTGTCCATATGTAGCAAAGTATAAAGAATGATGGATTTTAGAGTCAGAAGACCTTGGCTCAAATCCTAGCTGTTTGACAAAGGGCAAGTCACTTAATGCCTTTGGGCCTCTGTGTCCTCAGCTATAAAAATGAGGAGAGGTTGGGCTTGATGGCATCTGAGATCCTTTCCAGCTCTAAAGCTTCATGTATCAATATGAAGATCCTATTCTCCAGAAATTTACAATATAATGCAAAGTGGACTAGGAGTCCACAACTATGATGGAAAGGAGAGAGAGATAAGTGCAAAAAAGACACGTAAGACAAATATTCTATGAGATGGAGAAGGGACACATGGGGGTGACAGAAGGGGAGGGCCAGGAAAGACTTCTTGGAGTTGTCAACATCTATATTGAGACTCTAAAAGAGAAATCAATGGATAAAACTGGGGATGTGGAAAGACCATTTTATGTGCTGGGGACCAAAGCAAAGTCAACACAAGAACAGAGAGAATGCTCCAGGATCTCATTCCCCCTACTCAATCAACTTCATTGGCTCCCTACCACCTTCGAGATCAAATTAAAACTCCCTCTTCAAGATTTAAAAACCTTCGCAACCTGATTCCAACCTGTTTCCAGGTTTGTTGAATATGACTACTCTGTTATCCATGCTGGTCCTGCTAAACTGATCTCCTTATTATTCCTCAAATGTGTTACTCAATCTTTATCACTATGCATTTGCTCAGGCTATACCCCATGTTGGAATGCATTTTCTTCTCACTCTTAGGATCCCTACTTTCTTTCCGTGTTCACTTCAAGAATTACATTCTGTGGAGTCATGAACTGATCCAACCATTCTGGAGGGCAATTTGGAACTATGCCCAAAGGGCAATCAAACTGTCCATATCCTTTGATCCACCAATATCACTACTAGGTCTGTATCCCAAAGAGTTCATAAAAAATGGAAAAGGACCTACATGGACAAAAATATTTATAGCAGCTCTTCCTGTAGTGGCAAAGAACTGGAAATTGAGGAAATCCATCAATTGGGGGAATGGCTGAACAAGGTGTGGTATACACACACACACACACACACACACACACACACACACACACACACACACACGAATGTAATGGAATACTACCATGCTATAAAAAATGACAAGCAGAATTATTTCAGAAAATTATTTCCAGAAAAACCTGGAAAGACTTAGATGAACTGATGCAAAGTGAAGTGAACAGAACCAAGAGAACATTGTACACAGTAACAGCAACATTGTGTACTGATCAACTATGAATAACTTAGCTCCTTTCACCAATACAATGATTTAAAACAATTCAAAAGGACTCATGATAGAAAATGGTATCCACATTCAGAAAAAGAACTACGGTATCTGAATGCAGATTGACACATACAATTTTCACTTTTTTTCCATGTTTTTTTTCCTTTTGGCCTGTTTCTTCTCTCACAAGACAACTAATAAGAAAATGTTTTACATGACTGCACATACATAACTTAAATCAAACTGCTTACTGTTTTAGGGAGGTGGAGTAGATGGGGTAAAGAGAGAAAATTTGGAACTCAAATTTTTGAAAAAGAAAATGTTAAAATTGTCTTTATATGTAATTGAAAAAAAGAGTCACCACTACTTGAGACCTTTCATGATTTCCTCCCTCCCCTCCTGCTAATACTTTCCCCTCCAAGTCACCTTGTATCTATTTTGAATAATTCTGCATCTACCTGTATATGGGTGGGTTGTCTCCCTGTTTAGATTCTAAGTAACATGAGGGCAGGAACCGTTTTCACTTTTGTCTTTGTATTCTCAATGCCTGACACATACCAGGTTTGTTGACTGACTGATTGAAGAGGAGTGGTAAAGATTAGGCTGGGTCATGGGGGTCCTTAAATTCCAAGGTGTGGAGTTTATACTTCATTTGGTAGGCAATGGGGAGCCATGAAGGGTAATTTGAGGAACATGATCCCAATGGTGCTTTGGAAAGATTATTGAGGCTATAGGGCATGCCTGTCAGTTCATTCAACATAAGAAGAGCTAGGAGGCATCCCAGGACTCCATTAATCCAGACTCTGGGAATCAATCATTTATTATATTCCAGGTACCATGCTAGGCAGGGCAGACAGGTGGTGCAGTGGATAGAGTGTCACATCTGGAAGTCAAGAAAACTCTTCCTGAGTTCAAATCCAGCCTCAGTTACTTACTAGCTTTGTGACCATGGGAAAGTCACTTGACCCTGTTTGCTTCAGTTTCCTCATCTGCAAAATAAGCTGGAGAAGAAAATGGCAAACCGCTCCACTATCTTTGCCAAGAAAACCCCAAATGGCATCACGAAGAGTCAGACATGACTGAAATGACTGAATAATAACAACAAGAAACTATGCAATCTAGTGACACTGGCCGCCTTGCCGTTCCACAAATAAGAAATTCAATCACTTGACTCTGAGCATATTCTCTGGCTGTCCTTCATTCCTGGAATGCTGCACCTTCTTATTTCAAACTCCTAGTTTCACTGACTTCCTTTAAATACCAACTAAAATCCCATCTTCCACAAGAAGTCTTTCTCAACTACTCCATGAATGTGTCAACTCTCTCTATGTCCTATTTATTTTATCTGTGGCTTGTATGCATATATTTGTTTGCTTGTTTTATGTTGTGAGGTCCTTGGAGGGTAGACTGTCCTTTGCCTCTTTTTATGTGCCCAGAGCTTAGCACATGCCTGGCATATAATAGATCCTTAATAAATATTTATTGACTAACTGATTGTGCAACATACTTGGGCATAAGAAAGTCATTGTATATATATGACCTCTGTTCTTTCCTCCTATCATTACACAATTTTGCAAAGAGCCTTCCTTTTATGGACAAGTTTTTAAATAAAGTTTTATTATTCTTATAGTAACTTGAAAAAATACATTCTGCTCCTTGTATTTCTTGATGCAAATAATTATGAAGCATGAGATTATACACATGCACATATATATCCATATATAAGCACACATATATCCATATATATGTACACATACATATCCATATATATGTATATATATGTGTGTGTGTGTGTGTGTGTGTGTGTGTGTATATATGATATATAAGCTCAAATTATGAGAAGCCATATTTTTAACTAGAATGTATAGACATTTCACCTGGATATCAACTGGCCTCCTTCAGTGCAGAATCCAATAGAATTCTGTATTATATCATTTTCATGAAAAAAACTGTGGCATTGTTATCAATAGGTTTGCAAAGTTAAAAAATTTCCTAAAATCAGTATCAATAGCATAAGTAACAATCATCTTTAACTACCTTCATACTTTTGTTGTTGTTATTCAGTCATGTTCAACTCTTCATGACCCCATTTGGAGTCTTCTTAGCAAAGATACTGGAGTGGTTTCCCATTTCCTTGTCCAGTTCATTTTAAGATGAAGAATTGAGGAAAACAGGGTTAAGTGACTTGCCCAGGGTCATACAGCTAGTAAGTGTCTGAGGCCAGATTTGAACTCAGGGAGATGAGTCTTCTTCACTCTGAGCCTAGCACTCTGGCCATTGTGTAACCTAGATACCTCCACTTTTAATGCAAAAATAGAAAGATTTTTTTTCAATTATTTGATTACAAAGGTCATTAGACAGACATATAGGTGATTTTCCTTTTCACCATTTTACCTGTTTATGAAACCATTCACGGCTGTACTGCAAGTAATGTACCCAACATTGTTCTGAACATACAGCTGAAGGTAGCACTCACAGTTTCCTATTGGATGAGACTTTCTGCACTTAGTAATTGTGTTAGCAACCTTGCAACTCTTTTAATTTCATAGACAAGATTTTTTGTTTATTTGTTTTGCTTACTGAAAGCATCTAATTTTTCTGGGAAATTATTTTATCTTGTTAATCTATTCTACACGTACACATTTAAGACATCTTTTCAATTTACTAGATTTCATACTATCTGTACCTAAAGCACTGATGCAAAGAAAACATAATGATATTCCTTATCCATAAATAACAGTTCTTATGAATCCCATCAACAAATAAATGAGACTGTATTTTCTGGACTTGGGAATTTTACTTTGATTTTCTGTTGTTCTATAATTTACATATTCTGCATTGCTTTTATACTAATTTTAGCTGCTCTAGTACATTTTCTCTTCAAACAGGTCAGACATTTATCTATGGACATTATTTCACTTTAAAAAACAGGCAATAAAAATTAAGACATATAAATTTAATTGTTGAAAATATCAAAGTTATCTAAAATTGTTATCAGTTATAAAGATATTTTAAATGTTAGGTTTTTATGAAACCAGTTTATTCTAAATTTACTAAAAATGATAACAGATATTATGACCTTTTTAAGTTTTGTGCAAAAACTATTTAACTTCATTTCCAGACTTAATTTTCAAATGCAACAACAGACTTCATCTATCTTGTCAGCCGGCAGATCATGACTATGCTAAAATTCTACATGTAGCATTTGACCCCCTTTGAA